AAGCTGTTTTATCTGAACCTAAACTACTGGGGTTTTAGCCAAGGATAAGCTGCCTTAGGGGAGGAAAATATCCTATTTCAGCTCCCCCTAGCCTTGCCGACTCCAGCCTACTCTAGTCATTCCATCTCACCAAAGGGGAGAGGGACTGAGAAGCATGAGGGTAGCTCACAGTCCAAAGACACAGGCTTACTGAAAGACTGAGACCTAATCATAGGACTATAGAATGCTTCTCCTTCGCCAACACCTTACCATCAAATCACTAAAGGCCTGTTTACTGGTACTTGGTCATGAGCTTTGTACAAAAATTTACAAGGCACACTTAAAAAAAAAAAAAAAAAAAAACGGTTTGAAGAGACAGAGAAAGCATCAAAACCAGACACAGAAATGGCAGGGATATTGGAATTATTAGACCAGAAATTTTTTTAAAACTATGGCTAATATGCTAAAGGCTCTAAACACAAATGAAGAATGCCTTTGTTGGACTCATTAGTAGACTAGACATAGCCTAATGAAAAGAATTTTTCAGCATCAGGAAAGACTCTCTAAGCTTGAGAATATGTCAATAGTAACTTCCAAAACTGAAAAGAAAAAAAAAAAAAAGGCTAGGAAAAAAGTCACAAAATATCCAAAAACTGTGTAATAACTACAAAAGCTGTAACAAACACTTAATGGGAATACCAGAAGGAAAAGAAAGAAAGAAAGGAACAGAAGAAACATCAGAAGCAATAATGACTGAGAATTTCCCCTAATTAATATCAGATACCAAACCACAGATCCAGGAAGCTCAGTGAACACCAAGCAGGGTAAATGCTCAAAAAACTACCCATAGGCATGTCATATTCAAACTGTAGAAAATAAAAAACAAAGAAAAAATTTTGAAACAAGAGTGAGGAAAATTCTTTACCTATAGAGGACCGACCAAAGATAAGAATTATACCCAGCTTCTTCTCAGGAACCATGCAAGCAGTAAAGGAGTAGAGTGAAATATTTAAAGTGCTGAGAGAGATAGAATAAAATGCCAACCAATAATTCTGCATCCTGCAAACTTATTGTCCAGAAAGGAGAAATAAAGACTTTATTAGACAAACAAAAATTGAGAGTATTTGTTGCAAGTATACCAGCCTTGCAGGAAGTGATGAAAGAGGAGAGAAGCAAAATGATATAGGCCAGAAACTTGGATATACATAGAAAGGAAGAACATTACAGAAGGAATAAGTGAAGGCAAAATAAAAACTTTTATTTTTCTTATTCTCAATTGATCTAACAGATAACAGTTTATTCAAAATATAGCAACAATGTATTATTAAGTAATGATACTTAATGATACTTTAAAAGCTTATGCATAAGTGAAATATATGACATCAGTGACATAAGGAATGAGAGGAAGGAATTATGAATACTTTAGTATAAAAGACTTGTACTACCTGAGAAGCAGTATAATGGATTTGAAAGTGGACCTGAATTCATTGTAAACGTATATTGCAAACTCTAGGACAATCACTAAAAAAACTAAAAATTGAAGTATAACGGATTTGCTAAAAAAGAAGAGAAAATGAAATCACACAAAATACTCAAAACTTTCAAAAGGCAGAAAAAGAATAGAAGACAAACATAGGATCAAAGAACAAGGTCTATGAATAGAAAACAGTGACAAATACGGTAGATATTAATCCAACTTTGTCAAAAATCACTTTGAAAATCAATAGCCTAATACACAGTTTACAAGACAGAGATTATCAGAGTGGATCAAAAAACATTACCCAACTATATGCTTTCTACAAAAAAGTCTACTTTAAATATAAAGGCACATATAGATTAAAAGCTAAGGGCTGGAGAAAGATATGCCGTGCTAACACTAAGAACACTGGAGTAGCTATATTCATTTCAAACAGCAGATTTTAGAGCATGAAAAATTATCCAGGATAAAAAGGGGTATTACATAATGATAAAAGGATTAATTCTCCAAGAAGACAAAAAATTCTTTTATATATGCATCTAGCAAAGGCATCAAAAATATGTGAGTCAAAGATTGATAGAACTGGAAGGAGAAATAGATGACTCCACTATTGTAGTTGAAGATTTCAACATTCTTCTATCAGGAAATCAGTAAGGACACAGTTGAAATCAACAATACCATCAATCAATTGACTATAATGGACATCTATAGACTATTTCATCCAACAACAGCAGAATATACATTCTCCTCAAACTTAGTGAATACTCACCAAGATAGATCCCATTGTGGCTTATAAAACACACCTTAACAAATTCGAAAGACCAGAAATCATACGGTGTCTGCTGTCAGGCCACAATGGAATTAAAGTAGACATCAAAAACAGAAAGATAGATGAAAAATCTGAAAATATATGCAGATTAAAGAATACTTTTAAATAATACAGTGGTCAAAAAATAAATATCAACAAATTTTAAAATATTTTGAACTAAATAAAACTGAAAATACAATTTATTAAAATTTGTGAAATGCAGCAAAAACAGTGCTTAAAGAGAAATTTATAGCATTAAATCGTGTATATGAGAAGACAAGGAAAAGCTAAAATTAATTTAAGCTTCCACTGTAGGAAATAAGAAAAAGGAGAACAAATTAAATCCAAGGTAAGTAATAAAAAGAAATAATAATAAAGCAGAAATTAGTAAAATTGAAAACAAGAAATCGATAGAGAGCAATGAAACTAAAAGCTGTTTTTTTGAAAAGATCAATAAAATTGACAAGTCTCTAGCCAGATGAACTAAGGAAATAGGAGAGAATACACAAGTTAATGATATCAGAAATGAAAGAAAGGACATCACTACAAATGTCATGTTCATTATGAAGATAATAAAGGAGACCAGCCTGGCCAACATGGTGAAACCCCATCTCTACTAAAAATACAAAAATTAGCCGGGCGTGGTGGTACCCGCCTGTAATCCCAGCTATTCAGGGGCACAGGCAGGAGAATAGCTTGAACCCGGGAGGCAGAGGTTGCAGGGATCAAAGATCGCACCATCGCACTCCAGCCTGGGGGACAAGAGTGAAACTTCATCTCAATATTTAAAAAAAAAAAAAAAAAAGAGGATAATAAAGGAATACTCTGAACAAATGATAACCTATGTGAAATGGACTAATTTCTTGAAAGACACAATCTGACAAACTGAAGCCATCATCAAGACTAAAATTTGTATTAAATATGACCTTTAAAAATGTAACACTTTTCCTATCATTTTCTCATCACAACCTTTGAAAACTAATTGATTTTAGATTTTTACTTAATTTTAATACTTTGATATAATACCCCTGCAAGTTTTATATGTGGACCCTGTTTCCAAGGCTCCTCTCGATGTTACTGTACTACAGAACAAGTCTTCCTAAAGCGTTGTTCAGATAATGTCAAAAATCTTTACTGATTTGTTGTTGTTTTGTTTAGCTAATTCTTAGTTTTGCTTATAGTCAAGGTTTTAATTTTAATACTGTGATTTAATACCTCTGCAATAGTTTCATAAGTGGACTCTGTTTCCAAGGCTCCTCTCAACGTTACTCTACTGCAAAAGAAACCTTCCTAAAAGAAGATAATGTCAAAAGTCTTTACTGATTTGTTGTTTTGTTTAACTACTTCTTGGTTGTGTTTGTAGTTAAGGTTGTAGAGGAGAAACTGTAATAGGATGTCTAGTGAGGCTTTTCCTGTTGACCTGGAATTAGTGACTAGGGCCCATGCCACAATTAACAATAAAATAGCTACATATTTCCATATTCTAATGACATCTGCTAAAAGGTTGCCAAATGTTGGAGTGAGTCCAGACTCTGCATATATTTGCTACAAGCACCTAAAGGACTGGAACCTCAAAGTTAAATAGAGAATTTTTGCCTCTCCTTGTTTCCTGTCTCCATCCCCCAAGAAATGACCCAGAGGAAAGACAGGAAAGAGCAACTGAGGAGCAAACTAAGACTTCTTTCCCACTTCTATTGACTCTTTACAGCTACTGATCTAGCCAATTGGACAGGGATCATGAAAACTTTCAATCAAATAGGAAATTACAGTTTTAAATTGACCTGGATGTTTAGTAATCAAAATTAACCACAGGGTTTTTAAAATTTGTTAAAAATATTATGAAGGTATTGTTTTCAGTTACCCAAACCAGAAACCTTAAAAGAAAAGGTTCCGAACCCCTTTCTCTTTTGCCTCCTTTAACTAAAGGGTCACTAAATTCCTAGGTAATTCTATCATCTAAATAATAATTCTCCTCATTGCTTCCTTTTTTCCATACTGCCACTGACGTAATTTAGGTTCCTGTTATCTCTTACTTGACCTATACTTAGTGATATCCATTCCTCTAGGGTCAAAACCCTCTCATTCATCATCCACATTGCCAGATAATCGTTTTAGCATGTAACTCTCATTATTTCACTTCTGCACTATTCAAAGTTCTTTGATGACTCCCTGTAAATTAAAACCAAAATCCAAAATTGTTTATCTAGAATATGTCTACCTAGTGATAGGATCCCAACCTATATAGCAGCTCCTGCTCACACTTTACACTTCAACAATACCGAACTTGAATTGTAGTTTTTCCAAGCTGTATTCACTCAAGCCCATGGTCTTCTGTGCAATTTTCTGTATTTAGAATGCTCTCTCTTAACATGGGGTAAGCCTATCACTTAAGTCTCATCTCAAGTAGCTTTTCTTCTCCTTTCCTGACTTCAAGCTGCCCTGGGTTTTCTTTTTACAGGTTCCTGTAGTATTTCAGATATACTGCCATTAAAGAGTAATTATCATAGCATATTATAACTACTAACACATTTGACTCAGCACTAGGCTGTAAGTTCTTTGAAGAGCAATAACTCTTTTCACTTTCATATTCTCAGTGTCTAGTGTGGTACCTGATGTGTAGCAGCTGCTGGATGCATGTTTGTTGAATGCATACATAATGGAAGCTAAAATGTTAAATATATTTTCATATTAATTGGAAAGTGCTATATATTATGATCTTTGATTATTATTACACAGGTGAAAATGAACAACTAAAAATAAGTGCTGATCTTATAAAAGAGAAGTTGAAGTCTCATGAACAGGTGAGTTTATGTATCATTCTATTCAGTCAAGTCCCTGTGGAGATTTATCTTTTCAAATTAGGGGAAAAAAAGAGGTTTTTAAATTAATAAACACAGCCAAGTATTTGTGGGTGTGGGTGTATGTGGAGATATGTGTATATATGCCAAAATCTGTAGTAAATGACAATTTGTTTTCAAAGCAATACAAGTTTTAAGAGTTTTATTTTTACAAAATATAATGTACTAACATATAACATGCATTACTTTTTCTTTCTACCAAAAAGAGATGCAGTTATTTTGCTACATATTTTTCAATTATGTTAATGGAGTTTTTACTCTAGTAAACTCTATTTGTTACTACTTGTGAACTTTTTTATTATAATGTAAATGAATCTGTACTCTTTATGATTTGGGTAATCATAACACCATTCAAATACAGGGGGCATTTCATGTGGATCACAAATTATTTATCTCCCAGGAGCCACCATACCCTCTGATACTTTTCCTTGTCTCCTGTAGGAACAGTGCAGTGATAGCAGTTGTAGAACACATGAACAGTGTCTAAAAAGCATAAAAGATACTAAATAAATGTCAGTTCCCTCTACTCTTTGAGAGGTTCATTATACTACCTCATCGCTCAAGAGCTAATATGTCAAATTCTAGCAGACAAAAGATCCTCAAAACTCAATTTGAATCTACAGGAGCCTTCAACTTGAAGAATCTTCTCTAAATTCAGTCTGGTTCCTCATCTGAGGACCCTCTGAAGAAACCTGCCCAGAACTTCTAGTTAATACTCTACAGTAATAAGTAGCATTCTGGCTATGCTCTTAGAAAATGTAGCTTTTCATCACCAATTTTGAGATGGTTTTTAAGTATTTCTGGAATGAATCCTACCCTTTCTCCCCCTTTCTTGTCCTTTTTCCCTTTATTCTTTCCCTATCCGTTTCATATATTGACTCTAGATCTCAACAATAGATGCTAAAGTCAGGTTGTAATTGGGGTGGGGAACCAGGGGGAGAAAATTTTAGCACTTTCCTTTCTAAAACTTCAAGCACTAGGATACTGCTTTGTCATATCATAGGAATGTTTGGAGGGGAAGAAATTAAAGAGAAAACACCACAATCCAAGAGTCTGAATTTCTTACTTAGGGGCTGTCCAAAGCAAACTATGACAGTGCAGATTTGCTAATTCAAAACCTCTGAACACATCTAAAATTCTCCATTGTTCATAGAGAACAACTCCCCAGGAACAAACTCAGGAGGTACTCCATAGCAGTATTTGTGAGAGTAGAAGGATTTTGCAACTTGTATAGAGAGAATCATTGTTTTATATATCAAGAGTGAAACTAGAAGTTATTCCTTGGAATTTAAAGTTCCCAGAAAGCATATGAAAAGAAGACAACCAGTTGTAACCTATTAGGGATTAGTCTCCTTAGAAAAATGAAAAGATTACATTTTTTAGGAATGGCACAGGCTAAAATGGAAGAGAAGATCTAGTGAGATACAGCTTGACTTAACCCAGATAGAATAGTCTTCATGCCTGGAGGCTGGAATGCAAATCCTGGGTCTTACCAAATTACTGCATGCATTCCACTTTACTGGTGACATCTTCCTGTGGCAAAAATCAGTGGAGAGTAGAAAGGTTCATAAGTTTGTCTCTGTGATTTCTCAGAGCAGCAACAGCTTAGTGCACACAGTTGTCAGTAGTTTATAAAAGCTACTCTGTAGTTGCCCATCTAGAAATCTAGATACATAGAAAATGGCAATTTGTGGGATTGCCCACTGGGTTCACCTGCCCAGTTTTAATCAGAGCCAAGAAGTTGAATAGCTTTGTCCATTCCTACAAGTTGCCTGGCAGGATAAGTAGAACAAATAGGAATCCATACTAAATCTCTTGAACTGAGATAATATGGAGGAATGTATGCCTATTTTTAATAGTAGGCATATAAGCCAGTGTGTCTTGACCCGTTTAAAATTTTTTAACCTCCTCAATACCATGAAATATCTACTAAAAGCTATGAATCCTCACTGAGAAAAATGCACGCGCACACACACACACACACACACACAAAAATAAATATGTGTATAATTTTACATTAAATTTTGGAAGTTGATCAAAAGCCTAATCATGGGATCCAGTTTAAGAGTTCTGACCAAGTAATTCTTATTGGCAGTCCCATTCATTCAAGAAATATACATCAAGATATGTGTGTGTGTGTATATACACACATGTATTTACACACAATGAGTTGGGAATACAATGGTGAGCCCCAGCTTTTAGGTATTAGAGGCTTTTATTGACCTCTTGCCTTTATTATTGTCTTTTTACTACTATCATACTTAACTTTTATTCTTCCTGCTTTCCTTTTCTCTTGCCTACATTTTAGGCCTCTGAATAATTTCTTCATGTAGGACCATACCCCTGGTAAAGTTGTAAAATTTATCTTCACAATTGTAGTAAAATAACTGTCTTCCATCACCATTCTCAATGCTCCTCTCCCTGTTCTTAGCATAATAAATCACCCCTATCTTCCAAAAACCTCAGAAGTTAATCTCAGGCAGCTGTCAAGCACTTTGCAAATCCCAAATTCATCTTTCTCTCTATGCCTCCTCATAAAACATACCCTTACCACGGGTAATACCTAATCTTGCTCTGGGAATTAGGAATATTTATATAATTTTTGGAAACAGAAGTTCAGCCTGCATTCAAAGAGACTCATCTTACATTATAGTAAGCTTGCTAGCTATTGAACAGTGCCTTTTGTTGGCTCTAGTGTGTAGTTTTGACTTATATTGAACATGCCTTAATTCTGTAGCGGCATTTATTCATAAAATTAAATATTTTGAGCATATTTAATATTCTAAACCCTGGTGATGAGTATCCAGAAAGCAAAGATAAAAAAGACATTGTTTCTGTATTATCTTTATCTTATCTCCTTGGATCAGAAATTGATCTTTCTTAGGGATTCATGAAGCAGAGAGTAGAGTGGTGGTTAGGCTGTGGTGGAGGGGGCAATTGGAGAGATATTGATGAAAGGATAAAAATTTTAGTTGGAAAGGAGGAATAGACTCAGGAGAGCTATTGTACAATTTGGTTATTGTTATCAATAACGATGTATCATATACTTAAAAACTGCTAAGAGAGTAGTGTTTTAATGTTCTCACCACAAAAAAGTGATAAATATGTGAGGTATTTAACATATATTGAACATATCCATAATATAGATATGTTAATTGACTTGAGTTAGACATTCCACAATGTATACATATATTAAAACATCATGTTGTACATCATAAATATAATTTTTAATTTTCAAATTAAAATTTTAATTTTTTTTTGAGACGGAGTCTCACTCTGTTGCCCAGGCTGGAGTGCAGTGGTGCTATCTTGGCTCACTGCAAGCTCCAGGGCCTCCCAGGTTCATGCCATTCTCCTGCCTCAGCCTCCCAAGTAGCAGGGACTACAGGTGCCCACCACTATGCCCGGCTAATATTTTTTGGATTTTTAGTAGAGACAGGGTTTCACCATGTTAGCCAGGATGTTCTCAATCTCCTGACCTCGTGATCCGCCTGCCTCAGCCTCCCAAAGTGCTGGGATTACAGGTGTGAGCCACGGCACCCAGCCAAAAATGTAAATTTAAATTAAAAAATAAATACTTTACACATATGAAAAATAAAATAAAATGGGTCTATCTGAAAGCTGATTATTCAAACAATGAACAATATTTTTCCTTGTAGATATGATAGCTTTTAATTATTAGAAAGGTGAAATTGTTCATTTATATTACATTTATAGTACCTTTTTTAAAAGTAATATAAAATTTTTAAAGTATTTAAAAAGTAATGTGAATGGAGAATTTCACCTTTCTAGGAATCAAAAGTTATATACACATATTTAAATTTTAAAAATTAATATATATTTTAATCTTTAGGAATATAAGAATAATATTGCCAAACTTGTAAGTGAAATGAAAATCAAAGAGGAGGGATATAAGACAGAAATAAGCAAACTTTATCAGGACATGCAGAAAAAAGGTAAGTTTAAAATAAACTTGCTTTTGCATTATAGATTCACGGGATATAATGTGCAGGTTTGTTGCATGAGTATATTGTGTAATGCTGGTGTTTGGGCTTCTAGTGAACTCATCAATTATATAGTGAACATAACTCATGGTAGGTCATTTTTCAACCTTCACCCCTCCCACCCTCTCTTCTTTTGGAGTTCCCAGTGTCTATGGTTTCTATCTTTATGTCCATGAGTATCCATTGTTTAGCTCCCACTTATAAATGAGTACATGCAGTATTTGACTTTCTGTTTCTGAGTTATTTCACTTAGAATGATGCCCTCCAGCTCCAACCATGTTGGCAAATAATTCAGTTTTATTCTTTTTTATGACTACATAGTATTTCGTGGTGTATATATACCACATTTTCTTTATCCAATCCATCATTGATGTGCACTTAGGTTAATTCCATGACTTGGCTATTGTGAATAGAACTGTGATAAACATGCAAGTACAAGTGTCTTTTTGATAAAACAATTTATTTTGCTTTGGATAGATACCCAATAGTAGGATTACTGGGTTGAATAGCAATTCTATTTTTAGTTAATTGAGAAATCTTTGTAATGTTTTCCATAGGGGCGAAACTAATTTAAATTCCCATTAACAGTGCATTGTTGTTCCCTTTACTCCACATCCCTGACAACATCTGTTATTTTTGTGACTTTTTAGTAATAGTCATTTTGACTGGTTTGAGAAGGTATCTCATTGTGGTTTTAACTTGCATTTATCTGATAATTAGCAATGTTGAACATTTTTTCATATGCTTGTCAGCTGTTTGTCTTCTTTTGAGAAGTGTCTGTTCAAGTCCTTTGCCCACTTTGTAATGGGGTTGTTTTTGTCTTGTTGATTTCTTTAACTTCTTTGTAGATTCTGGATATTAGTCCTTTGGTGGATACATGGCTTGCAATTATTTTCTCCCATTCTGTAGGTTGTTTGTTTATGCTGTTGTTTCTTTTGCTCTACAGAAACTCTTTAAATCCGATTTGTCTATTTTTGGTTTTGATAAATTATTTGCCTAGGCCAATGTCCAGAAGAGTTTTTCCTATGTTTTCTTTTAGGATTTTAATAGTTTAAGGTCTTACACTTAAGTCTTTAATCAATCTTGAGTTAATTTTTGCATATGGTAAGGAATGGAGGTCCAGTTTAATTCTTTTTCATATGGCTAACCAGTTTTCCCAGCACCATTTGTTTTAATAAATAGGGAATCTTTTCCCCATTGTTTATTTTTGTAGAATTTTTGAACATTAGTTTGTTGCAGGTGTGTGGCTTTATTTCTGGGTTCTTTATTCTGTTTTACAGATCTATGTTTCCATTTTTGTACTAGGACCATGCTGTTTTGGCTATTATAACCTTGTAGAATAGTTTGAAGTAGGGTAATGTGATGCCTCCAGCTTTATTCTTTTTGCTTAGAATTACTTTGGCTATTCAGGCTCTGTTTTGGTTCCATATAAATTTTAAAACTGCTTTTCAAATTATGTGAAAACTACATTGTTAATTTGATAGGAATTGAGTATGTAGAGTGCTTTGGGTAGTATAGTCGTTTTGATGATATTGATTCTTCCTATCCATGAGCATGGAATGCTTTTTCATTTGTTTGTGTCATCTATGATTTATATTATCAAACTGTTTTGTTCTCCTTGTAGAGGTTTTTCACCTTCTTTATTAAATGTATTTCCAGGTAATTTTGTGTGTGTATGGTAACTCTTAATGGAATTGAGTTCTTGATTTGGTTCTCAGTTTGAGTGTTGTTGGTTTATAAAAATGCCACTGATTTTGATGCATTCATTTTGTATCCTGAAACTTTACTGAAGTCATTTGTTAGGTCTAGGAGGAATATTTAGGGTTTTCTAGGTGTAGAATCTTTTAAATTAATCTTTAGGGTTTTCTAAATGTAGAATCATATTATCAGCAAACAGATATAATTGGACTTCCCCTTTTCCAATTTGGATGGCTACTATTTATTTCTTTTCCCTGATTGCTCTAGCTACAGACTTTCAGTACTATGTTGAATAGGGGTGGTAACAATGGATATCTTTGTTTTGTTCCAGTTCTTAGGGGACATGCTTTCAACTTTTCCCCATTCGGTATGATGTTGGCTGTGGGTTTGTCATGTATGGCTCTTGTTATTTTGAGGTATGTTCCCTCAATGCCTATTGTTTAGCGTTTTTATTATAAAGGGTGTTGGATTTTACCAAATGCTTTTTCTGCATATACTGAAATGATCATACAGTTTTTGTTTTTAATTCTGTTCATGTAACAAATCACATTTATTGACTTGTATATATTGAATCATCCTTGTACCCCTGAAATAAGGCCATTTGATCCTGATGAATTATCCTTTTGATGTGTTACTGGATTTTCTGTTTGCTAGTGTTTTGTTGGGGATTTCTGAATCTATTTCTATCAGGGATATTGGCCTGTTGTTTTATTTTTTATTGGAGGGTACTTGCCAGATTTTGGTATCAGCATGATACTGGTTTCATAGCATGAGTTAGAGAGGCCTCTCTCCTCCCCAATTTTTTAGAATAGCTTCAGTAATATTGGTACCAACTCTTCTTTGTACATCAGGTAGAATTTGGCTGGCCTGTAAATACTCTGGTCCTGGGATTTTGTTCTTCTTGTTGTTGGTATTTTTTTTATTGTTTATTCAATTTTATGGCACATTAATGGCCTGTTCAGAATTTCAATTTCTTCCTGGTTCAATCTTTGGAGGCTGTTTGTTTCCAGGAATTTTTTCATTTGGTTTAGATTTTCTAGTTTGTGCACATAGAAATGTTCATAGTAGTCTCTGAAGATCTTTTGTCTTTCTGTGGTATTGATTGTAATGTCAACTTTATCATTTCTGATTGTGCTTATCTGGAAACTTCTGTTTCTCTCTGTTTTCCTTGGTTAATCTAGCAAGTGATCTATCACTTTTGTTTGTCCTTTCAAAAAACCCAGTTTTTGTCTCATTGATCCTTTGTAAGGTTTTTTGGAGTTTTGTTTTCGTCTCATTTTCATTTAGTTCTGCTCAGATCTTTGTTATTTCTTTTCTTCTGCTACCTTTGAGTTTGGTTTGGTCTTGTTTTTCCAGTTCATTTAGGTGCAACATTAGGTTGTTAACATTACATCTATCTTTTTCAGGTAGGCATTTAGTGCTATAAACTTTCCTCCTAATACTACTTTTTCTGTATCCTAGAGGTTTTGGCATGTTATGACTGCATTTTCTTTTGTTTCAAAATAAGTTTTTATTTCTGGTTTTTTTGTTATTGTCTTTTACCCAAAAGTCAACCAGGAGCAAGTTTTTTGGTTTCAATGTATTTGTGTGGTTTTGCAAGTTTCTTTTGGTATGGATTTCTAATTTTATTCCATTATGGTCCATATATACATTTGATATAATTTTATTAAAAAATTATTGAGACTTGTTTTATGATCAAGCATATGGTCAATTTTAGAGAATGTTGTATGCACAGATGAGAAAAAATGTATATTCTGCAGTTGTTGAGTGGAGTGTTCTGTAGATGTCTATTAGGTTCATTTGGTCAAAAGCCCAATTTAAGTCCAGAGTTTCTTTATTATTTTTCAGCCTCCATGATCCAGTAGACTAGTCTCCAGGCTTTTAAATTATTCCTTCTGCTTGGTCTAGTCTGTTGCTAAAACTCTCAACTGTGTTTTAAAATTCCTTTAGTGAATTTTTTAATTCCAGAAGTTTTTGTTTTGTTTTGCTTTTTAAAACGTAGCTACCTCCTCTTTCATATCCTGAATCTTTTTCCTGGTTTCTCTGTGTTGGTTTTCAACTTACTCTTGGATCTCTTTGCGTTTCCTTGCAATCCATATTTTGAATTCTTTATCTGTCAATGAGGCATTGATAACTCCACTACTATTGTATAACTGTCTATCTATTTTCTTAGGTTTAGTAATATTCGTTTTATAAACCTGGGTGTTCCAGTGTTGGGCACAGTTAAATCTGCTTGTTAAATCTTCTTGTTGAATTGAAGTCTTTATCATTATATAATAGTAATTACATAATTATATCTTGCTGAATTGAAGCCTTTATCATTATATAATACCCTTCTTTGTCTTTTTTTTACTGTTGTTGGTTTAAAGTGTTTTAATTGATACAAGAATATCAACCCCTGTTCTTTTTCATTTTCTATTTGCATGGTAGATCTTTTGTCACCCCTTTACTTTGAACCTATGGTGTTATCACACATAGGATGGGTCTCTTGAAGTCAGTAGATGGTTTAGTCTTGTTTTATTAACCCAATTTGCCAATCTGTGTATTTTAAGTGGAATATTTAGGCTGTTTATGATTAATATTTATATGTGAGATTTTGTTCCCATTAGACTGTTGTTAGTGAGCTTTATAGTCTCAGTTGTTTAATTGCTTTATAGGATCTGTGAACTTTGTACTTACGCGTGCTTTTATGGTAGCAAGTGTTGTCCTTTTGTTTCCATGTTTAAAACTCCTTTGAGCATTTCTTGTAGGTCTGGTCTGGTAATGATGAATTCCTTTAGCACTTACTTATTTGGAAAAGACTTATTTCTCCTTCCTTGTTTGGTGGATATAAAATTCTTGGATAGTGTTTTGTTGTTGTTGTTGTTGTTGTTTTCTTTAAGAAGGCTAAAATGAGGACCTCAGTCTCTTCTGACTTGTAAGGCTTCTGTAAGAAGTCTGCCATATAATCATTAGACTATTTAAGGTCAATGCCAAAAAAAAAAAAAAAAACCCTCAAAGGCAGCTAGAGAAAATAGCCAAATTACCTATAAATGAAATCCAATCAGGCTAACACAGTAGACTTCCTACAGAAGCCTTACAAGCCAGAAGAGACTGAGGTCCTCTTTTTAGACTTCTGAACTCAAACTCCCGACCTCAGGTAATCTGCCTGCCTTGGCCTCCCAAAGTGCTGGGACTACAGGCAAGAGCCACCGTGTGTGGCCCTTCATCTGCATGTCTCTGGAATAGTAACTGTCCAGATATTTTTGCCATTT